TATTGCCCCCCCCCCCGTCTCAGCTGGACATGCTTTTGGGGTCAACCAGGATGGGCACGGGAGGGCGTTTCCGTCGTGGAAGCGAAGGATAGAGAGGGCAGGGGTGATGAAATGGTAGGTTAGCAAAGGGCGGGGTAGAGAGTCAGCCCACGTAGCTGGTTTTCCTGGGCCCCGCGGCGGGGCGGAAACCAGCTACGTGGCCCCAAGGGGCCTCCAAGGGGTTCATGCGGCATGATCAGCGGGAGGCGTGTTAGATTTTCTTGTTTGATTCGCTACTGTTCGGCGACAATTCCTGTTACCATATTCTTGGTGCCGACATCTGGACAGCATATATATTATAATTTGTTGTACTCCTCCTTCTGTGGTCGTGAGACTGTGCAGCGCACAATGCCCGCACGAGCCCGCCCATGCAGGCGCGAGCCCAGCAGGCCCATTTTCCCAAGTGTTCAGAGAGTGTACCTGGCGCCTTGACAGCATCTCACTTGCTGTGCGACTCGTCGGCGCCACGCTGCCCGCACGCGCTTTCCATCAGGCGTGAGCCCAATCCCCATCTTCTGGCAATCCCATGCCCCCGAATATTTAGGGGGTGTACCGGGCGCCGAGTGGAAGGTGTGGCGGCGGGGCAAAACGATGAAGCCACACCGATTTCAGCGCGAGTGCTATAGTGAGGCTTATGATAACACAGTGTGGATATAGAGAATGATTAGGAATACAAGGATTATCACCATGCTGCTGATGATGGTGGTGCTGATGATGGTGATGCTTTTGATAATGAGAGCAGGAGGAGGAGGAGGAGGAGGACGAGCAGGAGCAGGAGGAGGAGGAGGACCTGCAGCAGCCAGAAGAGCCAGAGGAGAAGGATCAGCACGAGAAGGAGATGGGTCAGACCACAGAGGGGGTCGGACGAGGACGAGGAGGAGGATGCTGATGAGTCGTGGGAGGGCGACGAGTCGGAGGAGTGATGACGGGGACGAGGAGGAGGAGGAGGAGGAGGAGGGCAGGAGAAGGATATTGACGGGATGAGGCCGAGGACGATTGGGAGGTGGAGGGCTCACAAACGCAAACAGCTCCAGGGGACACGAATGAGCGACAAGAGCGGCCCGACAATGCCAACGGACTGTAAACGCCCGCGTGGTTCTATGAACCATGCACATATATACAGAGGGAGAGGTAGAGCGATTGAGAGAGAGAGAGATGGAGAGGGAGATAACGAGAGAGGGAGAGAGAGAAAGAGAGGGAGAGAGAGAGAGAGAGAGACAGAGCGAGAGAGCGAAAACGAGAGACAGAGAGAGAGAGAGGGAGAGAACGAGAGAGAGGGAGAGAGAGAGAACACGATAACGAGAGGAAGAGGGAGGGAGGAGCAGAGAGAGGCAACCACACACGCACACACATATGTACAGATGCACCCCTGTATACATAAACAAATACCCGTATACACATATACAGTGTATATGGAGAGAGAGAGAGAGAGAGAGAGAGAGAGTGAGAGAGAGAGAGAGAGAGAAACAGCGAGAGAGAGAGGGAGGGGAGGGAGGGAGGGAGGTAGACATATATGTATATAGATATAGGGGGGGTGAGAGAGAGGGAGAGAGAGAGAGAGAGAGAGAGAGAGGGAGAGAAAGAGAGAGAGAGAGAGAGAGAGCGCGTGCGAAGAGGGAAGAGAGAGAGAGAGAGAGAGAGAGAGAAAGAGAGGAGAGAGAGAGGCAGCAAGAGAGAGAGAGGGGGGAGGAATCTGAGGAGCAGGAGGAGGAGGCGGAGGAGCGCAGGAGGAGGCGGAGAAGAAGGAGAGGAGGATAGGAGGAGGGGGAGGCGGAGGAGAATGAGGAGGAGGAGGATGACGGGGAGGAGGAGGAGGAGGAGGAGGAGGAGGAGGAGGCGGGAACGGCGAGGAGGAGGAGGAGGAGGAGGAGAAGGATGATGAGCATCGGCGGCGACGACGGCGACGACGACCGTGCGCGCTTTCGGGGGAGGAGGAGGAGGAAGAAGAGGGACGGGGAGAATGTGAGGAAGGGAGAATGAGGAGGGAGAGGGCGAGGACGAGGACGAGGGGGAGGAGAAGGGGGAAGAGGAGGAGGAATGATAAGAGGAGGACGTGGACGAGGACGCGGAGGACAAGGGCAAAGACGTGGATGATTATGACGATGCTGATAATGATGATATTGATGCTGATGATGAGGATGATGGTGACGATGATGATGCTGATTACGGTGATGATGATGCTGATGATGATGATGATCATGCTGATGCTGATGCTGATGATGGTGCTGATGACGATGATGTCGATGCTGATGCTGACGACAATGACGATGCCGATGACGATGATGCTGCTGATGACGATTGTGATTATGCGTATGCTGATGACGATGATGCTGATGGTGATGATGATGATGCGGCTGCTGCTGACGATACTGATGCTGACGATGATGTTGCTGATGCTGATGATGCGGCTGATGCTGATGTTGATGCTGGTGCTGATGATGATGATGATGCTGCTGCTGATGACGATGATGATACAGCTGCGCCGATGGCGATGTTGTTGATGATGATGATGATGATGCTGGTGTGCCTGCAGCTCATTATGGTGTTCCTGGTGATGCTGATGAAGCTGATGATGTTGATGCCGACGATGCTGAGGTTGCTGATGATGCTGATAATCATGATGCTGCTGATGATGCTGATGATGATGATGCTGATGATGATGCCGATGCTGATACTGCTGCTGATGATGCTGTTGGTGCTGATGACGATGGTGATGCTGCGACGATTATGCTGATGATACTGATGCTGCTGATGATGATGCCGATGATGATGCTGATGACCACGGTGATGATGGTGTTGACGCTGATGCGGTTGATGTTGATGTTGATGCTGATGCGGATGCTGGTGGCCCTGATGATGATGCCGATGATGATGCTGATTATGCTGATCATGATGTCGGTGGTGGTGGCGATGCTGATAATGCTGATGCTGATGCTGATGATGGTACTTATGATGATGATCATGATGCTGATGATGCTGATGATGGTGATGATGATGATGATGATTCTGATAACGATGCTGACGATGCTGATGATGAGGATGACGATGCTGATGATGATGTTGATGATGATGGTGACGATGATGCTGATGCTGATGATGATGATGCTGCTGGTGATGATGATGGTGATGATGATGCTGCTGCTGATGATGATGCCGATGATGATGATGATGATGATGATGATGCTGATGATGATGATGATGCTGATGATGATGATGATGATGATGATGATGATGATGATGATGATGATGATGATGATGATGATGATGATGATTATGATGATGATGATGATGATGATGATGATGATGATGATGATGATGATGTTGATGATGCTGATGATGATGACGATGATGAGGAGTCCAGTCCAGTCCAGGCCGCTCCTGGAAGTCTGAGTGTCTCGAACGTGCCGCTACTCTAGACTTCTGAGTGTCGCTTTTGCGACAGTCTACTCTCATGGAACGGTTTCTAGGCCCACATGTCCTCTCGAGCGCCGCTCGCACTGCCCCTCCAGGGCCACCGTTTGGGCGCGCAACCCTGGTGGATACCCCTTGGGGGCCAGCGATTCACGCTGAGCCGTCGCCCGTCCCACCCGCCTCACCCCCCCCCCACCCACCAGCTGGCTGGCCTCTACCTCGCGACTGGCCTGCTCTCCAGCGGGCATTGCCGCCCAAGGCTCCACGCCCTCGGCTCGTATTCACAGCGTCACCTGATCGAGCTCTCTCCCTACCCCTACCTTTCCCTTTAGACGGGCGGGGAGCAGGAGGGACGAACACCGTAGGAACAGATGGGAGAGAGGCCGAGGCGTACGAAACGAAAGCGGGCAGAGAAGAGAGAACACTCTCTGGCACTGCACCTCGCTCGATGAGCGAGGCTCGTCTGGCACTCTGTTGCACCCAGCCTCTACCTACTGCTTCAGTTGCATCTCCGACACGGTGCGCGAGACCTCGCGCTCCAAGGGTCCCCGAGGCGCTGGCCCCGTCACCCGCTCAATCTTCTGGACCTCCACCGTGTACTTGAGCACCGCCTGCCACATCGCGACCACCACAGGCTCCCGAAGGCACACTGCCACCGAGAGACCCCCTTGCCGTCGGCCACGTCCTTGCGCGCCGTCCGACAGCGAAAGTGGAGGACGTCCCGGCCGAAATCCTTGGCCTTCTTCATCATGACCACCGTCTCCCGCTATTTGCGAACTGGGCCGTGGACAGCTGCGTCCGCGTGGGGGCCGTCGACCTGGGTCATCACCATGACGTGGCGGATCATTGTGACGAAGACTGCGACGTACGGTGCTCCTCGCTCGCGGAAGTCGACCGTCTCGCCGTTATTCTGCTTCTCTTTCATCATGGTTGATACGCGATCTTCCTCCATGCTTGCGCCGCGCGCCACCGTGCCGATGTCCGCCCCGCTGCTCTCGGCGCAGAAGTAGCTTTCGTAGACGGCCGACTCCAGCGCCGCGATCTGGCGCGCACCCGTCATCACCAGCTTGGCCAGCATGAGCACCAGCATTCTGAAATCATCCTTCCCTTTGCCGCCACCGCCGCCACCAGGGCCCTTGCCCCCTGCCTTGCGCACCTTTTGGTCGGACTGCCCCTTCCGATGGCGGGGCAGACTCCGCTGGGCGCTTCATCCACGACGGCATCCCGATCTCCAGCATGATTGCGGCGATGTCCGAGCAATTCGCTACCAGGCTGATCTCGTGTTACTTTCCACGGAAGATGCACTAACATATGGCTACTGTACTCTCGCTAGTCGCCTCCTTCAAACTCACACAACCCACATCGATAGTTAGACGACTCACTAAGCTTAGTCATGGACTTAGGCTCCCATTTCCCACAATAACCACGTACTATGGCATGATGTAAGTGTCGGGCAGCAGTGGTGGTTGATCGGAAGATTTTGTCGCATATCGGGCAGTGGGTTGGTTTGACAAGAACGGGTCCCAAGTTTCGTATACGATGCCGATCTCTAACATGTTCCATCAAGCCTCTAGTCGTAGATAATGCTTGGGTACACAGTTGCCCGTCATCTAGGAGCGCCGTACTTTTACAGGGGGACGCCATCTCGGAATTAATCTCCAACTCCTCCCCTTCGCCCTAATTGTCTTCCCCTCCCCCATCAAAGCCAGGGGGGGCACTTCCAGAGACTTCTGATGTCCACGAACCCTCCGAAAATCAATATACCAAAAAAACTCTCATTATCTCCTCATCCTCGATTAGACGCCAGGGGCAGGCAGAGAGTTGTTCTAGCAGTTCAGCGTGAGCAGGGCAAGCATCAGCAGCTGCAGCACAATCGTACCCGATCCGCTTCGCCCAAGGTGAGGCCCGCTCCATTATACGGCCATCAATCATTCTGTTCAAAGGGGAGTCCTGCAAACATTGCGGTGAGGAGTTGAACCTGTTCGTTTTGGTGAGAGGTCCAGCTCTGATACCACGCCAATCTTCTAGTAATGAGTTCCCATTTACAGGTGGCGAGCTCCCAGTACCGAAGGACATCCTCAGTGGAAAGGGAGCGTTTCGAACCATCCTCTTTCTCTGTGCAGGCAAGGCCATGCATCGCTGCACGACCCAAACGGGCGAGATGACGATCCATCGATCTCATCTGTTTCTCGCTCAAGATGAATGCCTCCAGGCCCAAGAGTAAAGAGCCCTGCACTTCCACTGCTTCGGGGCCCGCAGAGACCAAAACGACCCCATAATATAGTATGCAGACGTGGCTGTAACCATCCTCCTCTCAACTTCTGGAGCTGACAACTGGTTCGGAGTGAAAACGGGATTTAGATAACGAGCTACATCACCAATTTCGCCGTCTAGCTTCTTGCCCTTCACCCCCTCCTCCAGTATGTACTTCTTGCATGCTGCTGGTCCCTGCTAGAAGCGATAGTGCACTGCTTATCTCTATTCAGAACGTAGCCGGCCGTACTTAAGGATCGATCTAATACAACATCCGCTTGACGGAGTTGTGAGAACACCTCAAGCATCGTGGTGTCAACAGGAAACAACATTCTGTGCAGAAGGTCAGCCGCATACTTCTGGAAGGACATATCCATTGGACGGGACCACCACTGCGCCTGGATGAGACACGTGGCGGGCAACTCCTTCCGTATATCCTCGGCCCACAACTGCACGGTTCAATAAAGGCACCTGAAGACCCATGAACATTGCAAGGATCTTCCATATTTCCGCCCACCCCCGTTTTGACAACCAGTATTCTCGATTTCGTTTCAATTTGGACAACTGAGAGGCGATAGCGCTGCCTACACAATACGCGGTCATGGTGCGGGACAACCTCGGTCACCATCTGATCTAGTCGTTCCCAGCTGGTACTGCCAAATGCATTAGAGAAGTCTTTCATCGTGGTGGCGTACGCCCAACCCGCCTGCCGAAGTCGGAAGCCTAGGATCATCGTACTCGCTATCGCATTTTCTCGCCGTCGGTGCCGAGCGAAGCCGTGATCTTGATCGGGCAATCGCTGTCCGAGTCGCTTCGCATACCATGCCTTACCTATCGATGAGAGTGTATGTATGAGTCGACGACCTCGCGGCCCTGGATCCGACGAATTTGGAAGACCCACCCCCCCGAGACCGATGCCAATACAGAGGAGTCATCTGAACCCGTCGTATTTGAGACAACCCCAGATGCAACAATTCATTCATGATCTTCAATTCAGGAACCTCCTCCTCGTACCCCAAACCAGAGCCAGACGACACTTGCATGCCCGAAGCGCACCCTGCTGTCGAGAGACCCTTTTCAGGATTTAGCACCATGTCCCAAAGCTCCAGGGGGAGGTCTCGGGGGGGGGGAACGTTCGTCTCTTCCCTGCGCGCCGCACATACCTCTGTGCCGCCTGGAAGTCTTCCCCTGCGGGCTCCAGGACGTCAGATTCTCAGGCAGCAGACGTCGGTGGCAACGGCAGGTCGTCACGCTCTCGCCTCAAATCTGCCCAAGATATCTCCCTTGCCAGCATACCCCCCCTGGGACCCAGGTGGCGCTGTAAATGTCGTAGCAACACTTCTCGATCGAGCGGGGGTGGCCCTAATCTTTTACCGTCTCTCTGCTTCGCCCCGTATCTACATCGTGCCGCTCGTCTCGATAGGACCATCGCGTCGGCCATCCTCTCGCGCCGAAGATGCAAGGCCGCATCAATGTCCGTCAGGAAGGGCGTCTTACCCGTGCCTTGTCGGACCGCCCGTAGAAGTGCAGACGGGCAAATACGCTGTTGGGCCTGGGCGGGGAGGTCGTGAGGGCCCTTAACATTCTCCAGCTCCAAGCACATGGGTAGGTGATCGCGAGGAGGAACCCCACGAGTCGCCTGCAGCTTAGCACCAAACTCCCTCATAACCCCACACTACCGTACTCTCGACTGATGATCTTGCGCTATGAAGAAGTCGTCCAGACAAGAGGCCGAGGGCGGGTTCGACAACGAGTAGCAGGTGTACTGCAGGGGAAGGAAGGTGCTGGGCGCGACCATGTGCTGCTCATCTAGGACTTTCCGCACTTCCTCTCCTGCTCCTCGACGACGGGCCTCCTCTGTCCTAGTGTCACCAACAGCTTGCGAAGGAGGACTGGTCCAGGAACCCGCAACACGAGTAAGCCCCAACCCGTCGTTCACGTCGGAGAAAATGTCGGAAGTGTGCGTGCGGGAAGTGCTTGGCGTATATTCCGCCACCAGTTTTTGAAAGCTCCTACCGCGCCAGAATACGCCCCTGCCTGACCCTTCTTGGAGGGCTGAGGCGGACAGTACAAGACCCCGAAGGTGTGATGTCCATGACCCCTCGTTTGATTCTGGCTGCGATGGCACGACCCCCAGCTTGGGGAGGGGACCCCCAGGTCTGAATCGCGTCCTTGTCACGGAACCGAGCGCCCAGACAGACCGCACATCCCGAGCTAGAGTTAGTAAATGGGCCTGGCTGATAAATTGATTCCAGAGCGAGACGACCTTCCACCCGCCTCCTGAGTACTCCTCCCCCTCTTCTACAACTTTTTTGCGTCCAAGCGAGAAGGAGTGCATCAGCAGCAGGTGTGGCAGTAAGAAGGTCACACAGGCGAATGCCCGTCGCGAACATCGGGTTGAACCCGATGACGCGGAGGGCGGACCGAACCTGCACCGCTGGCGACATGAGGGCCCGCTCGGTGAGAAGTCCTGCGACCTCTGCACCTCCTGACGGTGCGATGAACCCCCGACCGTGGTCTCCCCTGGGCCAGGGGGGCTGATGATGAGGAGGAGGAGGAGGACGATGAGCTGCCGATGCTAATGCTGATGCTAATGCTTATGCCGATGCTGCTGCTGCTGCTGAGGAGGAGGAGGAGGAGGAGGAGGAGGAGGAGGAGGAGAAAGAGGAGGAGGAGGAGGAGGGGGAGGAAGGAGGAGGAGCAGGGGGAGGAGGAGGATGAGGAGGAGGTGGAGGAGGAGGAGGAGGAGGGAGCAGGCCGACGACGACGTCGGCGGGCGGCGACGATCACCACGACGGAATCACCCAAACTCCTTAGCGAATGATGCGGGGATCGTCGGCGGCGGCGGCAGCAGCGGCCAGGTGCAGCAGCACGGCGCCGCCGCGCTGGTCGCCCTGGGGCCGCAGGGGCCGGGCGCGGCACGCAGCGGCGAGGGCTCCGGGAAGGAGGAGACGTCGCCTCAGCCTCTTTCCCGTGCCGTTGGCGGGCATTGTTGGTTTTCTTCAGACTTGATTTTCACGCCGAGTACGTAAGAATTGGGACATTTTACGCATTTTTAGTAGATTCGGCGGGAATAGGTTCGGGGGTCAATCAATTCTGTCGATCCCCTACTCGACTCCTTTCTGCGCAATCGCAATAGGTTCGCAAAGACTGGGTCCAGAGATCCGACGCTCCAAACAAATTGGAGCGGCGGGATTGTGGCAGTTTTCGGCCTCCGGGGGCCCTCGCCAGGCCTCGGGAGCGTCAAGAAACGACTCAGGGCCAACAAAAAGGCTCTGGGGGTGTGGTCTCGACCTCCGGGGCCCACGCATCGAAAAAATTAGAGCAGCTGGATGTCTGGGCAGAGGGATCCGATCCCCAGTGCTTTCTCGACCATTTTTCTCCCTCCTCACTCCCTCCTTCCCGCCCCCCTCTTTTTCCTTTTTCTCTTTCCTCATCCCTCTCTCTTTCCCTCCCTCCCTCATTCCCTCCTCCTCCTCCTCCTCCTCCTCCTCCGCCTCCCCCTCCATTTTGTCCTTATAAACAGCTCCCCTCTGTCGCACTCCCAGACGCGTCGGTCGGCCAGGCAGGGCGTTTCGCCTGAGACTTCTTCGCCATTTCTGAACTCGAAGCTTGGGATTTGCAGCATTTTCACGAATGCAGGGCGGGCCGTTTTCAAACTGTTTCTCTTGCTCTAGCGCCTCGCACATTCGACTTGAACGTTTACAAAAGCTTCAAGGAGGGAGGGTGGGCGGTTTCCAATGTGGCTCTCGCATCAGCTCCACGCACATACCTCTAAACACGTTGCAGCAGTTTCAAGGATGGAGAGCGGTTACTTTTCTAAATGTGGTTTTCGCACTCGCGCCGCGCACATTAGTGTTGTAATTTGTCATCAGTTTCACGGATGGCATTCAGGCACGATTTACTTCAACATCGTAGATGCGTTTTGGATTTGCAATGGTCTTCCTCCTCCTCCTCCTCTTCCTTCTCCTCCTCCTCCTCCTCTTCCTCCTCCTCCCCCTCCTCCCCCTCGTCCTCCCCCTCCTCCCGTTGGGATGCACATCACGCGATTTCCCGCCCCCAAGAAACTGGCCGCTCAGAATCGGAGGGGAATGCGGTGATACACCTCCGACTGGGCTATTCGGACGCACCCCACTTATCGCTTGGCACCATATTTTGTTTTGCCCAGTCGGAAACCCCAAAGCGTCTAGGGTTTGGGCCGCCATGAGTCAGAACGTTTCGCGTCTCCACACTAGCCAATCCAGGAACAGTTCCCAGGGGAGCTGCGTTTGTCGGGGGAGCGCGTCATCAATTGGAGAGTTCCGGGAGCCTCCGTGGGCCAGAGCCCTCTTGGATGCCTTCCAGAATATCTTGGAATGTCTCTCGGGGTCTTTGGGAGGCCTCTCGGAATCTCCTGGGGGCCTCATGGCGGCTCTTGTGGGCCTCTTGGGGGACTCTTGGAGATCTCATGGGACGTCTTGGGGGCCTCGTGGCGGTTTTCACAGCCTCTTAGGGCGTCTTATATGAAGCCCCCCTCACCGTCCCCGTCATAGCCAAATGCAGAGTGATCGCGGGGCGCCGGATGCTTCAGATTTTGCCGCAAAGTGCATTGTGTACAGTGTTTTGCCAGGGATCGTGAGCCTGCACAGAGCAGTCAATCTGATGGCCCCCCCATCGCCACCCCCCCTCTTTCAAAAACCAGCGCATAATGATCGCAGAGCGCCCGCCCATGCACCAGCTTTTGCCACGGAGTGTACTTTGCGTTGTGTGTTGACAGGACAGGGAAGTTGGGTCTGCGTAGAGTGGACATATTAAGGGCACCGCCGCCGTCCTTGTGAAAAGCCAGAGCGAATTGTTCATGGGGCGCCCGCGCACAGTCTAGATGTTGCCGCAACATGCACTTTGCAGTGCGGTTTGACAGGGATGGTAGGCCTGCGCAGGGCGGACAACACAAGGCCTCCCCCCCGCCGTCCATGGCGCCAGCGCGTGGTCCAGATTTTGCCGCAATGTGTTTGTTGCATTGTTTCTCTTGCAGGGATGGCTGGGGGGTGCCCGCATTGTCCCTGGCTTTTCGCCGCTCGGGTGGGGGAGGAGGTATATTACCCTCCCACTACATAGGTAGCACCCGAGTCTCAGCATGGACAGGAGCCGCCATCGACAGTACGTCGGGAACCAGTGCAGACGCCAGCCAGGTGCGCGAAGCCCGCGAGGTGCGCCGCACAGGCCAGTTGCGTCACACGCATCAGTGCGCCACATTGGGCAACATGGCGACACTCCCATTATCCCTGTAGAGTGACGGCGGGTCTGCGAGCATTTTGTATCGTGTGTGGGTGTGCACCCGCAGACACTTAGAGCACTTGTTTTTGACAGGGATGGTGGACCTGCGCGCAGCAGGCAGTATGCCGTCCGCCCCCTAGCTGCCCCTGGCAGCATGTGCTTCTTGTGTTTTTCTGTTGAGACAATTATGGTGGGCCTGCACACAGCGGGCAGTATGCGCTCCACCCGCCGTCCTTGTCAAAATCTAGTGGGGAGTGATCGCGGGGCGTCCGCGCACGACCGAGACGCTGGTGACAGGTGTATGTAGCATTGTGTGTTGCAAGGGGGTGGTGGGGGGTGTGGGCAGTGCGCACGACAGGCGTTACGCCAGCCCCCCCACCGTCCCTCTTACAAGACCGACGCAAAGTGATCGCGGGGCGTCCGCACATGGTCCAGATTCTGGTGCAACATGTACTTGCCATTTTTGTCAAAGGAGTGTGTGTGTATGTGTGTTTGCGTCCGCGTGTGCGTGTGCGTGTGTGTGTGTGTGTGTGCGTGTGTGTGTGTGTGTGTGTGTGTGTGTGTGTGTGTGTGTGTGTGTGTGTGCGTGTGTGTGTGCGTGTGTGTGTGTGTGTGTGTGTGTGTGTGTGTGTGTGTGTGTGCGTGCGTGTGTGGGTCTTGTTGGCATTGCACACAACAGGCAATATGCCAGCACCCCCGCCGTCCCTGTCAAGCTACTGCAAAGTGATCGCGGGGCGTCCGCGCATGATCCAGTTGTTGATGCAAAGTGCGCTGATAAGGAGCACCGAACCCCCGATCGTTTCATGTCGAACTGCCGAATAGAAAGAACACACGCTCGCCGGCGAGAAGCGTGGCGAGACCCGCCTCGAGACCTCCGCGGAGGTCGAAGAAAGAAGGGCGCACGGCGGCAGCAGGCCGCAGAGCAGCAGCGGGCTGCGCTCAGTTTGGGGGACGAGGCGAGGCGGGCCCCTGGGAGGAGGGCCCGGTCCAGGTGGCGGGGCGCCCGGACCGGGGCTCCAAGGGGCGGGGGTCGATGCAAGTGGAGGTCAGTCAGAGCGCCCGATCTTTCAGGATCCTGCATGGCCAGGGGTGCACTGACCGGGGCCTGGTGCAAGGCCTGACTGAACTGGGTTTGGATTGACCCTTGTCAGAAGATACCCGACCCGAGGCGGGGAGGGGTCCCGTAGCCGAGTGACCGCCGGACGACGACGATGACGACCACGACGACGACGACGACGACGGCGGCGGCGACGACGACGACGACGACGATCGAATGGTGGAAGGACGAGGATAAATCCGTTCCACAGCGTTCCAGAACGCTCTCAGGGCATTCCGGAACGCTCTGAGAAGGCCGCGGCGTCCGAGGCGTCCAGGCCGCTGGACCTCAGAGGTTCTCGATTTATCCTCACCCGATGTTCTCCTCGTCCTGGCTTCGTCTTACACCTCTCGTTCCCATCTCTGTGCCGCTCCCGCCTCCCCCGAAGTCCGCCCCCCAGGAGAGGAGTGAGTTTACAGCTGCACTCGGTCGCTGTGGCATCGTC